TTTTTTTTCGTCGTTAATCACCAGGGGGCACATGAGCTTGTCAGAAAGACAGAGAGAGAGGAAAAACATACCCCTATAGGATGTGTTCAGGTGCAATTTCTTCTCTTCCACTTCTCCATCTTATTGGGATTATGGGCATGCATGAACATGTGCCCAGTGTGTTTTTCAAACCATTGGGGCTGGGATTGATTGATTGATTGATTGATTTATGCTGGGGAAAGGTTTTTTTGCTATAGGGTGTGTGCACTCGCCAGAGAGACTGAGAGAAGGAAAGCAAGAAATCACCCTTCAGGGGGAATGGCCACTATGGCCATGCCACAATCCCTTCTCCTCCATTCTCCTCTCGGGATCTTGGGCATACACACACACACACACCACGTGAATTTAAGCTGCTGGGTCCGGGACTTGAACCATGGTTGACTACATGGGAGTCCAGTGACATATTACGCTAATTGCTGGTCCCGGACTGGGATTTGACCCGCTCAGTCAGCCATGTCGTCCCCCCAGCCACTAGGCCATAGGGCCAACCTTACCAAATACAGTCTTTGCTAGGGTGATTCCCACAGCCTGGAATGAGATCCCATTTTCTTATTCTCTACCTCTCCAAAATTCCTTCTTAGTCATATGCAATTTAAATTATGACAATTTCTTAAAATAATGATTATATAGTATATATTAATATTTCCCTTCTCTTTGATCTCAGAGCATGAGTTTTTGTATTATTCTACTTTTATTTCTGCTTTGTGACTTACTGATATATCTACATTCTGCCTTTTTAGAATAAATGCTGTTTAAATTTAGGTAGAAAGGTTTTGTTCTCAGTATAAGAAATGGACTAGTAGATGTTGAATAGTTATTTATCGAATTGAATGTATTAAATTCTATCAATTTACAAAGTAGATCACATTTCTGTTTTGTCTGACAAATGTTTATTTGGAGAATACTTTTATTTTGAAACCACAATTTTGAAAGCAGTATAATTGTTTAAAAGGCATTGAGTTTTCTACTTTTTTAGTTATTTTACCTTGGACATGTCAACATTACTGCCCTCATTCATAAATGAAGATAATAAATCCTTGTTATTTTGGTGCAGAGATTATGTAAATCACACAAATATCAGCTGTGGTGGTGAGGATGATTTCTTTTCATCTTCTCTTAACCCTCTGGTACAAAAGTCTAAAGAACTATAAGTATATTTCATTTTCTCTGTTTTACTTTGGTCGCTAAGGGGAGGGGAATAAGTTTTGTTTTTTTTCAAATGTGGATACATACTGTTACAGATATACAAAGAGATTTCAAAGCATTCATGAAGAAGTGGAATTAAAGTATGAATTTAGGCCTATCCTCAGTTGTGCAGGGTGGTAGCATACTGACCTGCAATGCTGGAAGCCACATGGCTGACCATGGGTTTGGGTCCCAAATTGATCTAAAACATGCATGGCCTTTGATCCCAAGAACCTCACTAGCTAGAGGGATGGGAGAAGAGAACCATGAAATGACTAGACCCTGTTAGAGTGTATGCTTCTCTATCTCTCTGTGTGCTCTCTCATGAAAAAACAATTGTAAGTACAAGCTCATTTTTACCCAAAAATGTTTTGAAATCCATCCATGCATTGTTTTTTATTATAATGTGCATTTTTTAATGAATGTTTTGAAGAACCCTGGTATAATTTGGGCCCTCTGCTCTCTCTGAATATCTTTTTTATTTTTATAAGCACAGTTTTCTAACATAAGTAACACACTTCTTTTTTTTTTTCTTTGGAGAGGTTTTCACTATAGGGCACGTGCGCTCGCCAGACAGACAGAGAGAGACATAGAGACAGAAAGCGAGAAATCACCCCCCAGAGGGGATGGTCATGCCGCAATCCCTTCTCCTTCCATTCTCCTCTTGGGATCTTGGGCATGCATGCACATGCGCCTGGTGTGAGTTTTAAGACACCGGGTCCGGCATGCGAACCGCAGTTGACTCTGTGGGAGTCCGGCCACATAGCCATTATGCTAACTGCTGGTTCCCAAGTTACACACTTCTAAGCATCTGCAGACTTTGTCCTGACTTTATCTTGTCAAGTTTTAAATTTCTGAGAAAGAATCTGATGACTCTGTCTTGACATGGGTACTCTCTATGTTCTAAATATCCATAACTTGGAGATGGCCAGGATTATATGGCACAAACAAGGTTGTTACCGGCTGCCTTTGATGGTGATGAATATTTCTCAACTTGAAAGGCCCTAGTCAAAAACCCCCAAAAGCACTTGCTTCTCCCAGTATTACTTGCTAATTATTCAGAGTTCAACTTTAACATCACCTTCCCAGTGATACCTATTAACTCAACATTTAAGTGTCCTTCTACCTTATGTACTCCCATTAAAATCGGTAGGTTCTTTAGCATTTCTTGTTGTATGAATATTGTTATACAGCTAGATATATCCTTAATGCTTGAATTCTATGGTTCCAGAGGATACTACATACATATCAGAGTGTTTCTCAAACAAGACTCAACCAATGAAGACATTCTGTATAACCAGTACATGCACATACACTCTCTTACATGAGTCTGATGATACTTATCTTAAGACAGAATTCTAATTACTTAAGTAATTCACAATCAATTTGACTTTTTAATTGTTAGGATCAGTATGTGAATAAATCATGTTAAGGTATGTCTCTAAATTTATAACCTTGTATCCTAAGGAACTCTCACCATTTAGCCCATTTCTTGGTAAAATTCTCATTACTCAGCTCAGAGCTGTCGTGCTTGTGGTTACTGGTAAGCGAAACTGATGTTATTTTCTAATAATATGTACCAGAGTTGACTCCGATTGTTGTAAATTAGTTTATACTGATAGGCATTATACAAATTGCTTCACATGATGATTTTTATGGGCACTGTGGTATAAATTAATCAGTTTCTTCTTCTTTAATGTATTTATAATAATCTGACAGTTGACTGGATTTTGAATTAGAATAATTTGGCCCCTAGCTGATCTTTGCTGGATATGACAGAAAGAAAAGATTGAATTTATTGTTTTGGTATCTGCACACTGCAGAATTTGACCCATCCTTACAAATGACACAGAAATTTATAATTCTAATATACGTATACTTTTCAATAGACCCTGATCAAAAATGTCCTTATCGAATATAGCAAATATAGAAATATTTAATAGAACCAGCTAGTGATGTAGTGGTTTGAGGGTGTGCATTCTTCATGGCCATGGCCAACTGTGTGGTACAAGTCATGGACTCAGCAACTTGAAAACACATGGGGTGCATGTGCCTGCATCCTCAAAATGCAGAATGGAGTAGGAATTGTTGCATGGCCATCCCCAGGGGCGTTCTCTCTCTCTCTCTTTGTCTGTCTTTCTCTCCCTAGCAAGTGCATGCATCCTAGAGCATTATTTTTTAAAAGGAATATGTTATAGTCATTAAAGTTCAAAACTCAATATTTATAGTAATCCATTAAGCATCTATTAGACAAAAAAGAATGCCTGTTCAGGCATTTAATATCAGCAGAGTAAAAACTATGGACAATTCAATACATATTTTTTTAAAAACCTAGTAGAATTATTAACAAATGTGTACAACATTATGTAATGTTTACTGTTAAAGATGACTATGTATATATCCTTAATTGGATTATTGCTGTACACATGCTTTAATAATCCATACTATAGCCCACAAAGATATACAGTATCTATGCATAAACCAGAAATCATGTTATTATTTCTAAAAATAATAATAATAAAAGAAAGAAAACCTTCTCTTCCTTAGATAAGTAGTTTCCCTAAAATTTAATTGAAAGATGACACAGAATGACTAAGTAAAGGTTGCTATTAAGGAATATTGTCCACATGCAACTTTCTCATATCTTTTGTGTGTTGCGGGGGGCTTATGGTTAGGGTTTTGAAGGCAGTCTAATTGTTTAAAAGGCATTGTGTTTACTACTTTACCTTTAACAATTTTTAGGCATTTAATCACTATATATCATTACAGCTTACAAAATGAATTTTCCCAGCACAAATACACTGTATACTAGTCCAGTTAAAGATATTATCATACACGTTATTAACAACAGATAATTTCCCCATTTTTGTCCCTTAAATGTTTTGCTTCTTTCTTTTTTCCCTTGATTCCCTTCCTCTCACCCTCCCCCATTTTCCACCACTCCAAAACAAATTCTGTTACCTATTTATAGCTCCTCCCACTTTCTAATTCCCCCAACTTCTGTAAACAACAATCTACTTTCTGTCTTTGTGGATTTGCCTATTCTAAACACATCGAATAATTGCAATTATATCATTCTCCTCTTGGGATCTTGGGCACTCACGCACACGTGCCCGGCATGAATTTTGAGAAAGCTCAATCAACTCCTCCCCCCCTCCCCGCCCCCCACACACAGGAAAATGACCATGCTGCAATCCCTTCTCCATTTTCCTCTTGGGATTTTATGCACACATGCACACACACTTAGTAAGTTTTTCAAGCTACTGTGGCCAGGACTCGAACCATGCAATGAGCCACACGGGATCCAGCACCTTACCCTCTATGCCACCTGCTGCTTCTATAAAGGTTAATATCTTATCTTTAGTCAGATTGGAGTGTAACTTAAAAGATAAAACCATGTTAGTTCTACATATTCAGGATAAATAGATATTCTCTCTTGAAAATGATATCTGGGATAACTATTCATTCCTATCAACTCAAAATGGTTATTATTTCATTTTCATAATAATGTCAATAGGCAAGACTTTCATTTAAAAAAAAAACTTTTGGTAAGTACAAAATATTTCCTGTCATTTTAAAGGAGACTACATGGTAATAATGGTTTTGTAGAGTTTTAATGGTATCCTCTTGAAAAGTGAGTTATTGTTTACAATTACTCGCTGAGCCTGCTGAATAACAATGCTATCCTCCTAACAGAAAATCCAATCGGATTTGACAAGTCATGAGATCAGTTTAGAAGAAATGAAGAAAGCGAA